GTAAGTCAGTACTCCTGCTGGGTCATCCTTGTGAGAATGTCTCTTGGCCTTGCTGCATTTCATGGCTAATGTAGGCCACTGCCCAGGTTCTTGATGACTGCAGGATGCAGCTCTTTGGTCACATTTCCTGAGTGGGGCCAGGTGCCAGCCCTACGCTGAGCACGTATCTGTATTATTTTACTTGGTGCTCACAGCAACCTTGGAAGAAGACAGTATTATTGCTTCCCCATTTAAAAGATGAAGAAACTGAGGATCAGAGTGATTATGTTCTTTGCCTCATGTTTCACAGGCAAACCTGAGCCCCAGCCTATCTGATTTGATACCTTCCCTCTTAGCCTCTAGATTTATGCAGCATTTCACGATGACTCACTTTAGTGGGTGAATTGGGATTGGGTGGATGAAACACATATGCAGAACTGGAGCCCATCCTCAGGCATTTAGAATCTGCCCAACTGGGAAACTGCGTGGGTGCTGAGGAGGTCGCTGGGGGGACTGGAAAGAGCCCTCTGGCACTTGTGGGAGTGACTCCAAGAGAGTCAATTTCTTCTCTGAGTCTCGGTTTTCTTATTGTAAAATAGGAACGAGGTCAGTACAGGTTGATATAATACTAAAATAAATAATGCACAGGTAAAATCCATTGTTCGTTGAGAACATAGGAAACTTGATCTTCCCATCCCCAGCGGCACTGCCTTTGTCTCCCACCCCACCTGTCTGACGCCTGGCGTATACTGGCTCTCTAGATGTCCATTAAGGGAGTGGATGGACACAGAGTAGCCCCTGCTGTTGTCTGAGTGATATTGTCCTAAAGGAATGCAGAAAAAGAAAGCAATGTGCCAGGGGTGGGAAGGGAAATTTACAGATGTTGATGATGGCCGTTGAGTTCAGCTTTGCAGGGGCAGGAGCTCTCTGAAGTAGGGAGAGAGAGACAGATGCCCAGAGGAACCCAGGATTGATTCGACTGACAGCGCTTTTTACTGTCACCCTGGGCCAGGTCCTGGACCAACTGCTTAACTCTCCTTATCCTGTTTAATCCTCATACAATTCTACAAGATACCGCTGACTCTCTTTCCAGATGAGGAAAATGCAACTCAGAAGGATCAAGTGATTTAGCCAAGGCCGTACAGTTCTTAAATGGTAACGTGTAAGTTTTAATCTAGATATTTCTGATTTAAAAACATGTGTTTTTAATGTGCCTACCCCCCCAAATCTCACTGTCTTACAACTGAGGTTTCTATCTCACATTACACATTCACTCTGTATTCCAGCATGATGGGAGCACGCTGTTTCTGTGTCGCTCTTTGTCTCACGGCTTTAGGAAGATAAAACAAGACAACCGTGTGTGAGGTCTTAAAGATTCTGTTTGGAACTGACAACTGACATGTGTCACTTCCCCTCCTCTTCATTAGCCAGAAAAAACGTCACATGGTGAATGCTGACATAAAAAAGATGGAGAAGTGTAATTTGTCCCCAGGAGGAGCAAAACTCATAACTGATAATAGACTCTATCACGCATCCTCCCTCCTCTTATAACCCATATTTGCTTTCCGTCTCCTTCCATATTTATCTTCCCACAATAAGAAACCCCAAAGTCCTGTGCAGTCATGGTATGAGGCTCAAAGTCCCAGATCCTTTGATTGCCTCTGTATTGAGTCAAGATATGACTTCTCTTCATCCAGAGACTTACAAAGTAAAAAAAAAAAAAGAAAAGAAAAGCCCCCCCATAAACATACTCAATATAGAGTGATAGATCGGGATAAGACAACTGTAACAGTCCTTCCACAACAGTCATTGGTCCATAAAAATTCTGAAATCATCCTGGGAACAGGTTGCAAGGGGCCCTAAGGTGAGAACATTCTTTGATTAGCCTCTGATCCCATCCCCTGCGGGTAGTTCTCCAATCAGTTTTCTCCGTGGCCTTGGGCTTCAGACTCTGGAAGGTCCTGCCTTTTCTTTTGCATTGTTCTTATTGACACCATATGAGGAGGATATCAGAGAATGTGCCCTCCATGGGGGCAGCTTTTTTAGTCTGCTTTCTTCCCACACAAGGCTGAGGTGCAAGGATCATCTGGGTTGTCACTTACTTAATCTCAAGTAGCTGCTGTGTCCCCTCGCCATGCTCAGGGCTTTTTGGCTCTGTGCTTCTCTGTGGAGTGCTGGTCACTCTTACATCTGGTTCAGTTCTGTGCCACAGCTGATCAAAGTGATTTCCTAGCCGCGTCTCTCCAGACTTAACTGCTGCCTCACTCTTACTAAGCTTCTATGAGAGAAGCACATTTTTAGTTTCTTTCCCTACCCCTTCTTTTCCATCTGGACAGAAGCCATTTACTGAACTCCATTGTGACTGGTCCTTGCTACTGACTGGGTTTATTTCCCTTTTACGGTTTTCTCTGGGTAAACTTAGTACTGTATAATTCACCATTATGTGTGTGAGTCAGTGATTTTAACGTATTTAGCAATTTTGTGAATCAGCGCAGTCCCGTCTTAGAGCTTTCCATCACCCCAGAAGTTCTCTCATGCTCACTCACAGTCAGTGCTGTTCCCATCCTTTGTCCTAGACAATTACTGACCTTCCTAGCTCTATAACATAGCCCCCTTTAAGACATTTCATATCAATTGAATCATGGCCTGTAGTTCTTCCACTTAGGATGGCATATTTGAGATTCACTGGAAGGCATATTGATTCATTAGATTTCATAGAACACATGTTGTAGCATTCAATTCCTTTGAATTTCTCAGTAATGCTTCATTGTATGTATTGATACATCACATTTTGTTTATCCATTCAACAGTTGGTGGGCATCTAGATCCTTCCAGGTTTGAGGCCATTATAAATAAGAGTACTATAAATATTTGAATATATGTCCTATGTGTGGGTATGTTTTTATTTCTCTTGGGAAGATTCCTAGGAGTGGGATTTCTAGAACTTATGATAAGTTTATATTTAATTTTTAAAGAAATTGTCAATTTTCTATAAAACTGTACCATTTTATAGTCTCGCTAGCAGGGAATCAGGGTTCTCATTTCTTGACACCACAAAGCTGAATTTTAGTCAGAATTTATATTTCAAAGTTTTTCAGCTTTCTTTTTTTTTTTTTTGAGACAGGGTCTTACTCTGTAGTTGAGACTGATCTGGAACTCACTATATAGTGCAGGCTGGTCTCGAACTCACAGCGATCCTCCTGCCTCAGCCTCCCGAGTGCTACAGGTGTGTGCCACCATGCCTGGCTTTCAGCTTTCTTTTATTGCTTAGTTATCAAAATAAGTCGGTTCTTCCACTTCTCCGGGTCCCCAAATTTTCAGGCTTTTCATATAATTTTTATTCCTTCTAAAATCATCAAATTCTGGCCAGGTATGGTGGTGCACGCCTGTAATCCCAGTGCTCAGTATGCTGATGATCCAGGAGGAGCACTGTGAGTTTGAAGCCAGCCTGGGCTACTTACTGAGTTCAAGACCAGCCTGTATGACATAGGGAGACCCCGTCTTTAAAAAAAAACAAAAAACATCAAATCTTTTTTTTTTTCTCCCATGGTGGTAAACCTTGAGCAATGCTAGGCAAGTGCTCTACTAATGAGCTACATCCTTATCTGTGGTCCAGTTATTTTTTTAGCCCATTTCTTTCTTTATGACCTTTTCAGACATAGCTAATAGCAACCGACATGCTGTTAATATTCTGCCTTTCACGCCCTAAGCTCAGTCAGTTCAACATCTGCCTTAGAAGTTGATGCAGGCCACAGTCTCACCACACATGTGTCATCATATACAATACCTCCTCCTAGTCTTTAGTAATGATTCCCTTGACATGTGCCCTCAACGTAATGGATTTTGGTTATACTAGCACAACACTTCTGAGAGCAATTTCTATATTAGGATAAAGAAGTTGTGCTCTAATTACAAATGCCTGTGAATCTTAGAGGCTTATGAAAAAACGCTTTAATCTCCCTTCATTCACGCTCCATGTTTAGCCAGCCTTCTGTTACTTTGACAAATATCTGAGATAATCAACTTCTAAAGGGAAAAGGGTTATTTTGGACCTCAGGTTTGGAGGTTCTGGTCCATACTCATTGGGCCCGCTGCTTTGGGCCTGTTTCCTAGTAGGAGCAAACTTCTCAACCCATTGCCTGGGAGTAAAGAGAAAGAGGAGGATGCCGGATTCCCAAGGACCTCTCACAAGGCCTCACCTAAAGGCTGCATCACTGCCCAACAGGGCCACGCTGGGGATCAAGTATTTAATATGTGGGCCTTTGGGGGACAGTTATCCAAACCAGAGCACTGCACATCCCTGCTGGGAAGTCGTGCCTGTGCTCCACTTCATCTGTACTCAGGATTCCAGGGAGCTAGAGTTGACCCTGTCTAGAACATTGCTTGTCTTCTGGGAAAGGGAAGAGACTTGGTGAATCATGCACCGCTTCCTCAGGCTTCCTCTCACACTGAGTTAGTCACCACAGGTTGTGTGGCCAATCCTGACCTCAGTGGGACAGAGAAATACAATCTCCTCCAGGGGAGGGCAGCACATATTGTGAACAGTAATATAATCAATGACATTATGGTTTTTCTTTTTTTACCTTGGGGGCTTGAGAAGAAAGAAACAACTCTTTATGTGGTGGTTTTTTCCATAGCTTCCTAGAGGTAGGGCAAGGCAGCGGCCTTTCAAAATACCTTAAAGAGGGGCCAGGGATTTAGCTCAGTGGTGCTGCTGCCTGCCTCACAAGTGCAAGGTCCTGAGTTCGATCTCTGGTACCAACGACAACAAAACAACAAACCCCTTACAGACCAAGGATTTACATGCTTATAGTGATTGGCTCCTAGCCCATGGCTTTGATGTGCAAAATTATTATCTGCCATTCATCTGTCTCCAGTAGTCCTATCACGTAGGGCCATTGATTGCAGGGCTTGTCTTTTCTAGTTTGTTCCTCAGTACCCAACGCTCTGTAGGACATGAGTAAACCCATTTTTCTTGACCTACAGCTTGAATTGAACCAATTGTGTTTTCTTTTTTCTAGCTGTGTTCTGGGGGGACATTGCTCTGGATGAAGATGATCTGAAGCTGTTTCACATTGACAAGGCGCAAGACTGGACCAAGCCAGCAGGAGAGGACATGGGGCATAGCACTGGTAAGTACTGGTCCTCTTCTCCTGCACTGGATGGGAGGGCGAGGACTCCAGGGGTGGACGGAGACTCCAGGGGATCTTTGCTGTTTGACTTGTATGTCCATTGCTCATTTGCCTGTGGAAAACCAGGGGATCAAACCCTGACACTTTTCTACTGGAGGCATGGAGCTGGAACGCCTAGTTAGCTGATCCTCTAAGAAAATCTCTACTTGCCTCTTTATTGGAGGGTTCAGGAGGAGGGCTGGTTCCTAGGACTCTGGCATGGGGTCTTGTTATCCCAGTCTGCAGAGAATTCCTCCATGGGCTGGCTTTGGGGTATCTATAATGGTATTAATAGTGGCCAGCCTAGGGCAGCTGTTTGCCCACGAGGCATTGTGAATTTGTTTGAAACAACCCAGATGAGAGACTCCCGAAGGTGAGACCTACCCAAACCTTCAGACTTTGGTTACTTCTCTCTCTTTCTCCCTTCTTGCTGTCACCCTTGAAGTGAATAGTAATGAGACTGGTATCTTGACTTCTCCTCACCTTCGTACTCCCTGGGCTCAGTGACTTTGGCTCTGTGACTTCATCATCCTCGGAAGCAGTCTGGGGAGTGAGTGGGAGCTGATGGTCCCATATGGCAGATGTTAGTTTGTTAATTGGTGACTGAGGCTCACGGGTGCCTACTATCCATGACCATTCTTCCCACCCTCCCTTCCTTTCTCTGGAACCTTTTGGCACATTCACTAAATAGTTCATGTGCAGTGCTGGTGCAAGATGGAAGAAGATGGTATAACCCATCTTCTAGGTGACTCTTTCACTAGGCAGACTGGTCTTAGATCTGATCACGCTCTCTAACACCTCCAAAGTTTAGTTTTCCTATCTGTGAAATGGCGATGAAACTAACTCTCAGTGCAAAGCAATTTGAGGGATTGAATCCAAATGTAACAAGCTAGCCTAGTGCCCGGCACGTAAGATCTCAGAAGATGACTCTCATGGCAAATATGTAATGGATCAAGAGCAGAGGGAAGAGAGCAGGGTGAGTGAAGAAGCCTACCTGGCTTGTTGTGACTGGGCACCCTGCCATGTGTTATGAAGGATGAGTAGGACATTTCAGGTAGAAAGGAAGCTGGGTGCAAAGGCATGGAAGTATGAGAGCAGCTTTTGGGTTTTTTTTTTTTTGTACTGGGGATCGAACTTAGGACCTTGCATTTGCGAGGCAGGTGCAGTGCCACTGAGCTACATCTCTGGCCCAAGAGCAGCTTTCCATTCAGGGAACAGAGGTACAGCGTGGCCTGGAAGGAGAGCTTTTAGGGCTGTCTATGGGGGATGCATTCAGAGAGGCTGGCTGGGGCAGGCAGTGAAGTACATGCTGCTGTGCTCATGGTCTTGGGCATTACCAGAGGGCTGCAGGGGTCCTGCCCCAGATTTCTCACATAGGAATAGGACTTTCTCAACTTGAACTTGGGTGTGTTGGTGGAGCCCCCTGTTCTGCTCCTCTTGGTAGCCCTCCAGGTGCCCTGAGGATGCTGGGTTGCTGGCTGAATGCTTGGGAACTCTCAGCACCCTGAGTGCTGGTGGTGACAGGGGTAAGGCGTATCGGGCAACCCCTCCCCCTAATGCTACTGAATGCAAGAACAGCCTTGAAGCCTGGAGGGGAGGGGGCAGGAATGTGCCCACCTTCAGGGGTGACTCTCATGGCTTCAAAGGAACATGAGCAGCTGGAAGGACTGGGCTCTACTGATCCTATGCCTGACATTCTTAGGGTTAGCGAGGCCTGTTCTGTGTGATTTGAAAAATCCACTTAGAATTTGAATTAACTTTTTTTTTTCCTTTGGTTTTTTTGAGACACAGTCTCACTATGTAGTCGAGACTGACCTGGAACTCACTGTGTAGCCAAGACTGGTCTTGAAGTCACAGCAATCCTCCTGCCTCAGCCTCCCGAGTGCTGGGATTATAGGCATGTGCCACCACGCCTGGCCTTGAATTAACTTTTAAATTATTGATGGTCTTGAACACAGCAATCCTCCTGCCTCAGCCTCCCGAGTGCTGGGATTATAGGCATGTGCCACCACGCCTGGCCTTGAATTAACTTTTAAATTATTGTTCATAACAGGATACCCATAGCCTTAATTGAGCTCCAAAAAAAGGAAGCATCTCTTTATGATTCTACTAATCACACTCTTCCCAGGTCTGCCCAGAGGTCCAGAGGAGTTAACCTAACAGGAATCCATATAATTAAAATAGGTTTTGAACTTCTCTTTACAGTATTACTTAAAAATAGTGAATTTCACTTATGTCAAATATACAATGTGATTAACTTTTCATGTATGTGTATGCCCGTGTGCACACCACCACGCTAAGATATGGAACATTCCAGAACCTATCCCCAGTCAGTACTCACCGCAAGTAGCCACTAGTCTGGCCTTTACCTCTATAGATTCATTTTCCTGTAATGGGGACCCTATGTGTGTTATTCTATGTCTGTCCTCTTCTACCAGCTTTGTAACTGCACAGTCTACTTATGTTGCCAGGGGAAAGGGGTAGTTCTTTCTCTTTTGTTGTACAGTATTCTGTTATGTGAAAGGACCCAGCTTGTCCATTCTTTTGTTGACATTTGGGCAGTTTATAGTGTTTTGCTGTAATGAATAAAGCTTACTGACATTTTTGTGTGTATCTTTCAGTGAGCACAAGCACTCATTTCCAGTGGGCAGGTACTCAGGAAAGTAGCAGGGTCATCTAGGTTTACCTTCAGTAGGTACTGTGGAAACATTTTTCAAAGCAGCTGTACCAGGTTACAACTCCAGGCAGGCATCTATTCACTTAGAAAGCAGGAGTGGCATCCATGTTTGCTCCATTCGGATTTTAGATTCTTGGCTTGGGTCTCTTTCCTCTACTCAGGCCAGCACAGAAGCTAGTTGACACCCAGTATGGCTTCTGTCTAGATGTTCCCCCAAAGCCTCATGCGGTCATAGGTGGGATTTTTCAGGGGTGGCTGAATCTAGAGTGTGTGATTGATTTATGGTGCAATGCTAGGATTAAGGGTGGGTGACTCCTGAGTCCCTGATTGGTTTGGTGCCACCCTAGTCCCGGTAGTTAAGACATAAAAGGGGCAGAAAGATGCTGCCAAGGTCCTGTGCTTGCTTTGCTGCATTCTGTCCAGCTTGAACTGTTCACCTCTACGATGCCTGTCTGCCGTGCCACCCTGCCTTGGAGAGGATCGGTGATGGACTGAAACCTCTACAAACTGTGAGCCAACACAAACCTTTCCTCATTTAACTCTGGGTGTCGGAGTTTTGTCTTTTCAACAAGAAAAGCAACCAAGACAACACTCATACGCCGTTGTGAATACTCAGGGTTGCCCCATGGGGTCCTCCTGCTGTATTTGGGAGATCAGCTGTGGCACACCCTATGGGCTTAGATTTGGTAAATGTGAATGAGAGAGGTTGGGCAATGGTCAGCCACTGTACCAGCTTCTGAAGAGTCCCCTTGGAGAAGTTCACCTGAGGATGGTGTGGTGAGGGGAGGCCTAGCGGTTTGCCTCTCTTATAGCACATGCTCAGGATGAATGTGGGACTTGAGTGTTTGTCTTCTCTGTCTCTTTGCCCCGTGAGCTGAGAGAGGACAGCATCCACATCACATTCAACTTAGGACTCCACAGAAGTAGGCTGACATCTTACACCCAGAAGGTGCTGGCCTGCATGGGGGAGAGGAGATGGCGGAGGCAGACAGGGATTGCAGACCTGTAGTCTTTGCCCAAGGACTGAGACCTCCAACAGGGATTCCGTATCAGAAATATACTAAGACCATGGGTTGCACCTCCAGACTTTAGGGTTATACTGCCTGGGTTGAATTCCTGAACTGGCCCTCAGTTTCTTCATCCATCAAGTGGGGATAGCACTTATCTTTGCTTTAGTGTGATGGCATGAGGGGAAAAAATGGAAAGAATATGTGTGAAGTACCTGGTATATAATAAATGCTCAATAAATATCAACTAATATCAGTAAATATCAACTCTGCCTTCTCATCATCATTATTTGCAGAGAATATTGATCTGGGAAGTGTTAGGAATAAAGTAGAGAGGAAGAAATTTCCCATCTGTGGAGGGAATTTAGGGTTTGGGCATAAAGCACTCGAAACACAGACCTGCTGTTTCTTCCTCAAGCTTGATACACACACATACACACACACACACACACCTATATATAAACATATACCTATATATTTTAAGTGTGTCTTTTATGGCAAGGTTGTTTTTATCCTGATCACTTTTCTCTGAGGGTCTATAGTACTTTGTTTCTACCTACAACAGTCATTTTATATTCAGAATGGGAATATTTTTTATTGCTCTTGCTGATTAAAACTAATACTTCTTGTTAAAAAAAAAAAAAGCTCAGTACCTCATAATTGTGTAAAGTGGCAAGGGAAAGTCTCTTGTATTCCAGCTCCCGGGACCCCTATCATTATTGGTTTGCTAATTCCTCTCAGTCTTAATGTGCTTATTTTTTAGACGCAGGGACTTTATTGGACTTGCTCTTGTGTAGTAATATTGCACTGTAGACATCTTTCCACGAAGTGCACTTTGTCCCTCCTCCTGTTATCTTTAGTGGTTCAATGCGCGAATCTGCCACACCCACGTTTTTATACACAGATGTGAAGATTGTTTCCCCCTTTTTTGGTAATTTTTTTTTCCTATTAGAAATTATGCTGCTCTGATGAACTTTGCACACAGATTTTAAAACATTCACCTGACTTTTTGAACAAGTAAATGAAGAAGGAACCAACCTTTAATGCCCCTGTTTTCTTTCTTCGGAGCCTGGGGTAGGAGTTCTATGGAAGAGCGCTGAGTCTCCATGCAGGACGTAGGGAAGGGACCCCAAATCTGTGAAGCGGCCCCACAGTGTGTCCGGTGAACTTGGAACTACTCTCCTGGCTGCAGGCTGAAAAGATGTCCGTCGCCTGACAGCCTCATTGACTACAGGTTCCCCACATGCCGGACTTCTCAACTCCGGGCTGCCGTGCCC